GGAAGGAAGGAAGGAAGAAAGAATGGATGGACGGATGAACAAAGAAATTCAGAAAAAATTACCCAGCAAATCGTAAAGTGGGATTGAAAGGAAGAGGGATGATATACAAAATGAATGTTTTACCATTGTCTTGGTTGTCATCATTGGTGTTATTATTTGGTTCTTCATCAAGAATCTGGAATACGACATGTCATAGCATTTTTAAGACAATAATTATTGAACCCTTAAACAACAACAAGCTGGTCTGAGTCAGGGCATGGCTGACTTAATGCAGATTAAATGTATCATTTTTATCCTTACCTCTGCTCCTGGGACATAATCCTTGCTATCCACTGCRCCATACTGTAAGGTCTTTACCTCTGTCGTACTCTCTGTGGGTTTTCCCTGTATATGTATCAATAGCATAGGTAATCATTTGTACACTAGCTAAATATAAAATAATAATTGAAAAATAATGTGTTGGTTAATCTGTTTATATAATTCCTTACAAGACATGCACACAAAATTGTAGACTTTCGCAAAGGCTGCTGGCTCGCTGCACAAAATTACTCTCGCTTTGCTTGAATAACCGCCAACTGGTTGGCTCAGTTGGTTGAGCATCGGACTTTCGTGCGGGAGGTCGTGGTTCAAGTCCCGGCCGGACCAACACTCAGGGTCTTAAAATAACTGAGGATGAAGTGCTGCCTTTGTAATTACATCTGCAAATGGTTAGACTTTCAAGTGGCTCGGATGACCACTTTAAATGGCGGTCCCGTCTCTCCACACTCATCATCACTAACCAACCGACATCGGAGGGACGTAAAAGAACCACTGAGGACGTAAAGAAACCCTGGCAGTGACCACACTCAGTGCCTACACTTCATACTAACCATCTCTCATGCTTGTAAATTGCATAAAAGCAATCTGTCATTCACTTCTCAATGTAAAGTGCCTTTGATTATATTCATATAGAAAAGGCRCTATATAAATTCATAAATCATTATCATTAATCATTAATAAAAAACTTGCAGGAGATGAGAGAGGTTGAATTTGAGCACAAGCACTCCTAAGAAAGACAAAGGACAAACCCAGGTCACTTTTTTKCTAGGTCCCATTTTTCTCGYGGGYATGTAGTTGAAACAGGAACAAAAAAACCTAGATTCTTCCTCAAACCCACAAGAACGCCTGGGCCGGGTTGTTCAAAGCTGGATTAGCGCTAATCCAGGATTAACTCTATAGGTCTTATTAAGAGTTAACCCAGGATTAGCACTAATCGGGCTTTGAACAACTGGGCCCTGCTCTGCAGGCTAACCCTGGGCAGCCATGTTGGTTTTATTAAGAAAGGAAGCTAATGAAAAATATTCTCGTTTAAAAATACCTACCAACATGGCAGAGATGAACAGACATGAAAATGAAGAATTACTTGATAATTATTAATGATTATTATTATTATTATTTATTACTAACCCTGTCTTTCTTGTGCAATAGGTCTGGATTAAGGGTYCTGAATAACTGGATGATTGATTTAGATGCCATCATTACACCTGCAAATATATGATAAATAATCACTWTGCTATTGATGATGCTTTCAACAATAATCCAACGACAACAACGATAATGTCATACCTTTGTCTTTTGATTTCTTGTACTGTGCCAAGTCTTGTAGAAGGGTGTCTGTCATGGCCAACGGACATCTTGTACAAACCTCACGAATAGCATTCAACCTAGAAGTATTAAATACAAGGACTGTTTAGCACCCTTAAGGATGGGGAGGGCTTAGATTTGAAAATTTAGAATACTGATACCAGCATGTGTGCGTAAGCCTAAAAGTGAGGGAAGTGCTGAAATTTAGAGGATATAACCCAAAGGCCTCTTCCTCTCCACAGTCCCTTGGAATATACGGAATTCCAAAAATCCCGTAAAATGAAATAATATCATATGAATTTTCAYTTAGAGGTTTGACAACAGTACATACCCTACAGCCATAACTTCRCTGGAATTTCTTTCTGACACAAAATTATTTGCAATTGTTTTGACCCCAGATTCAACAACCTTAAAAATAACATTGTATATATATTCTTTTAGTTTGTTTGTTACAAAACACTTAGGCTGCATTCATAATGTATGGCAGGGGGGGGAGGTCAGGTGAAATTGAGGGGGGTCGGAAAAATTTTCACCAGTAAAATGGGATGGTTTGAAAAAAATTTTCAGAGAATTGGGGGGATGCAAAATTTTTAGAAGAAGCTACGAGAGATTGCCTGGGGGTCTTCTAAGGATTTTTTTGTCCTTTAAAGATTTCACCTACCCCCTCCCCCCCCCTCTGCCATACATTATGAATGCAGCCTAAAAAGGCATAAAAAGAATGGCTGATTCACCTCAGGAGGAACAAGTTCRTGGCAGGCTTGTGAGAAGAAYAGCAGCAGTTTTGTAACCTCTGGAAAAAAACAATATTATTTTATTATGTAACTAAAGGTGTTTTTKTGCTTGGATTATTATTAAAGATGTGAATTWCGTTTCTTCAASCTAATTTTTCTTGGAAAAGAATTCYGAGATGCAGGCTGGATACWATCCCGTGACATTCTGCGAGCATCTGACTAGCAAACAGAAGATGGAGCTTGGATTTTTTCCCCCCAGCTCCATCTGACTAGCAAACAGAAGATGGAGCTTGGATTTTTTCCCCCCAGCTCGAAGAAACATAATTCACATAATTAATAATCATATTTTTGTTTTAATAAAAATTGTCTGTACATGGCTAAAAAAAAGTAGYTCTTAAAATATTATTTACCTCTTTGGTGAGGCTGCAAGTAACGCTGTAAAAATGGATAAAAATTGAACAGGAACAGCTAAAAAGAAAAKTACAATAAGATGAGAACCAAGTCTTGTCTTTCCAACCTGTATGTCCGTCTAAATTTCTCTTTGACTTTACATTTTTTACAACTAACTGATCATGAAATCATTCTACAGTTCAWACTTCTGTCTAATTTTTTAACAGAATTATTTACAAATTACCTGATGTATTCCTATTAACCGAGAGATAAGATTCATCATCATCAACCGTACTTCAAACCTACAAGTTGCAGCTTCTAATTGTTTGAATAACCTTTCTGCAAAACCTGCAAAATATAATGTGATTTGTCAATATTGAAACGTACTAGGCAGTAAAACTTCATCACTAAAAAACTTGAAGAAATGAAGAAATATTTCACCATTCAACTATTCACTTCATGTATAAAGAATTCAATGCAAGTGTTGTATCAGGGGTTGGGTGCACTTTATAATAATTAATAATTAACAAATAGAGTGTTTTCACACACATGAGAAGGCAGCCACAAACAAAAGAAACTTCTGCACAGTATTTGCATAAAAATATAGTTCAATTCCCGGAGGATAGAAAATGTATTRTTTTGGTACCCCATAATGGCYGCTGTGACGTCATGTGAAGATGCTCTATTATTAGGTTATTTACTTAACTAATAGTAATGCTACTAAACATACCTTGAGGATCATTGATGAGATGCAAGGCTGAGAAGTTTACAGTTGTCACTTTATGCTTCTTCTTGTGTTTCTAAAGTAAAAAAATTATCATGTAACACAATGATACACTTAATAATAGCCATTTTACAACACAAAACTGGAGCTTCATTAAAAGTTGTGCCTGACAATAGGACACTAGGCTGTCACGTTCTTGTTTGTCTGTCATCAGGGGTGGTTTGAAGGTGTAAACAAATCTCTTCTTTCCCTACCTCTTTTCAACGTTACTCCAAATACAAAGCCCCTTTCCAAAGCCCCAGTGATGGGCCTGATTTGCTTACCCTCAGAACTGAAAGAGCCTTTTCTAGTTTCTTTTTTTTCTTGGAGTTTTTCTTGTTTACACCAGAAGAGAGGAGTAGTTGTTTAGCAGTGGGTCTTTCAGGCTGTGGAAAAAAAAAAAAGTATTTTGGCAAATTATAGAGAACATTAACAGGCCTCATAGTGTAAGCTTAGCTTGTTGGTCATATTAACCAATTTATGTACACTGTACCCATATACCCAAGGAATTTAGGCGTTTGTTATGAGAAACTTCAATAATTTCCACTGCAAAAYGAGGACTTACTTCACTGTCGCTATCACTGTCATCTTTAGGATCATTTTCATCACTTCCCAAGAAGAATTTAAGAGCGGCAACAAGAATCTGTTGAAGAAATTTACCATATATACATGTCTTAAAATTTTCATTTATATGTTTAGTATAATCYGGTGCAAGTTACAGGCTGTATTCAGAATTTGTGTATGTCAAGTAGTTACTGAGATTTGAGGAAATGCTGATCATACATGTACTTACATGAAGGTCACAGAAATGCATTTCTTTACATAGCAACAGAACATGATAATATTGTGTTGTCAAGTCAAAGATTAACTAGATTATTTCATGGCAACAGGATCTGGTTACCTTTCTACGTAAGAATTTTTACTCAAGTAACGGATCTGAAAACAAGAGACTAGAACTCTTACCTTAGSAACAGGAGAAAAGCAAGCAGTAGTGATTACGTTAACTGTCTTGGAATCATTCCAGATATTCTTTCTGTACAGTTCTATTATTACATCTAAGGACTTCTTGGCAGCCACGGCATTGCTGTCCTTCAGCATGGTGTACATGAAATTCTGTAATGTCTGTGAAAAACGAGTTATGTTAGGATGGGTTGGTGGAAACGTTTTTGAAAAATTACAAATTATGATGATGAYRGCAATGATGATGGTGATGATGACGATACTGTATAACAGTGGCAGTTCTTGTCACTGTTGTTGATGATGATGATGACTATAATGATTGTGGTAGTGGTTGTAGATGTGATGAAAGTGGATCACAAATATACAGTATATTCTATTCAATTTGGCTGGATAATCGTAATTTAAACAGTTATTAATTACCAAGTTCACTTTATTGTTCTTGTGTTTTGCATTGATGTTTTTGATATCTGTTACAATATGGTTATACAGGACTTGTCGTAATAGCTTATCTGTGCATCTGAATAACTTGAAAAACAGCTCTAAAAGACTAAAAATAATAGGGGAAAATAATAAATTAAGAAGATATATACCACGACAATTAAAAATCAAATCTGGACATCTTAMAGCTAACGTAACACTTTTTATAATAAACTCAAATATTACCAATATCTACAATACCTTGTTGGTGATAAGAGATCTTTGTTTCTTAATAGTATAAGTGCCTTGCATAAAGTCTGGAATGAAAGGAGTAAATCAATCAATCAAAATGAACACTTCATATATACTATATTTTAACACCTTGAATACAAATTTTTGAACTGTTAAACAACCTCTGGGCTGATAAAAGGCAGAGCATGACTAACTCACAGATTGATTCCTGAAAAAACCTCTGGGTTGATCAAAGTCACGGCACTGCTAACTCATTGATCAAACCCTGAAACAAACTCTGGGCTGATCAAAGTTATGGCACGGTTATCATACTGTATCCAATTGGAATTTAGAGTTAGGTTTTGCGAAAGGAGGAACCTAGACAAAAACCACTGAATGAAGGGATAGACCAGTTAACGAACTCTGATCTACTCACACGAGAACATCTGAAAGAAGATGTTTAGAAGCATATCCACGTAACTAATAATTATTAATGTTTCTTACCATCCGTAATTCTGCATCCATAACACTATGATGTTTGTGTAATATGTCCTTTAAATCCTGAGGTAGTTGACCAAGTTCTTCAGGATAACAATGAGCAACCTAACAGAAGATCACAACACAAGAAATGACTACATATTCATCACCATATCATCTACTCTTAAATCATACTTCATATAGCAATATTTCTACAAAGATATCTGAAATACTGAATATATCATATACATTACTTACTTGGCATAAGAACATTACCAGCTCTTGGATTGTTTTRTTTGAACTTGAAGGATTTAAATGGAAAATCTGTAAATTGGACTGATAATGGCGGTGCTGCTGTAGGAACTATTTCGCCCAAAAAATTAAAATAACCTTCGATGAGTATTAAGCTCTTAATATAATGACTGTCTGTGAGAAAACATTATTTTGACTTGACAGAATTTAATATGTAAGACTTTTCGTGACTTTTTCCATTGTATTGACCTCTCTTTCTATTAGCTCATAGAATCATCGACCAATAAAGTTAGTTAGAGTTGAGGATTACAGCAAAAACAAGAGAGTACAAGGAATAATGGTTCAAAGTAGACCATTTTGCAAATCACTAACCTCTTCTTTGTAMGACTCAGGATCTCTTTTTATCAAGTTTTGCAGCTGAGGTAAGTTATCAGGGATCTTGCTACTTTTCCTCTCTTTCATACTTGCTGTCTAATATGCAGAAAACTATAAAGATATCTTTTTAAAACGGAGTTTTTGTGGTCGAAGAGAAATAAAATTTGAAGCAAAATATCATGTGTTCCTGGATTCACGTGTAACTAACAGAGAATCAGCTGGTTTTAGAKGGCGCAGGCTCATAAAGAATGGGTTGCCTGTGGTGCGCATCGATCGATCCTTTTGCACGACCACATTTCTGATTTTTCATGTAAGTCGGCAAATTATTAGTCCTTCTTCTAAACGAATTGCGTAGGTTTTCTAATTAAATTTTGGACTAGTTTGTAATGATTTACGTTTTATCTGAATTGGCGTTACCATATTAAAAGTAATCAAAAAATCATCGCATGATGCTACTTTTTTTAATGATTTAAAAAACGCATCCCACTTGTAAAGGAGTGACCATGCGGAGATAGTCGTCAGCGACACAAACTACATTTCAGGTATGCTGGTCATAGCAAGGGGTTAATCATTTACGGTCTAGGGGCCAACTAACCTCTCCCTTAAGCTTTTGCCGAGATTCCTGATACTGTAATTCCTCCCGGGATAGCGGTGTCGGGGTCGAAATCTCCGGCGTAGCCGTAAGTCCATACGACGGTTCAGCACTCGATGTCTGGAAGTATGGTCCTGGTTAATTAAATTTACAAATAAAAAAAAAAGTTTTTGCTTAGCAGAAGTGCTTTTAAGCGATTTGGAAGGTCCAAGAGGAGTCCAAACTGTGCACATGGGCCTTTCGATCTGGCTGGTTCTCATGTATTTCCCACATTACGTACCCCTTTCTCAAACTGAGAGTAAACCAAACCATCGTGTATTAAAAATTAAAATTTATTTACACATTCTAAAAATCTTATTAATATATGTTTTGAAAACTGATAAACCTGTTTACAAGACATTACTTTCTATATTAACCCACGCTGTACAATAATAATTTATACAAGTGTAAGTATATATTATGGTCAAATTATATACTTTGCGCGCAACTAATTCTGGCTGAAATGCTGGCTGCCGTAAGCAATTAAGCGTCGAAACATTCGTAGTTCCTAATCAACTTTTTGCTATTTTTTTCTCGCGCGCGCAAAAAAAAAATCATCGATATCGTAAGACCGCGTCTTATGCAGCACAATAGTACCATACTAAAGCGTCAAGTTTGTACAAGAATTTCAGTATGTGCTGTCGAGTTTGGATCACCAGCGAAGGAATCCCCTGTCGGAGAACCAACTCCGTTTTCGCAATGCAGGTGNATTTGGAAGGTCCAAGAGGAGTCCAAACTGTGCACATGGGCCTTTCGATCTGGCTGGTTCTCATGTATTTCCCACATTACGTACCCCTTTCTCAAACTGAGAGTAAACCAAACCATCGTGTATTAAAAATTAAAATTTATTTACAYATTCTAAAAATCTTATTAATATATGTTTTGAAAACTGATAAACCTGTTTACAAGACATTACTTTCTATATTAACCCACGCTGTACAATAATAATTTATAAAAGTGTAAGTATATATTATGGTCAAATTATATACTTTTCGCGCAACTAATTCTGGCAGAAATGCTGGCTGCCGTAAGCAATTAAGCGTCGAAACATTCGTAGTTCCTAATCAACTTTTTGCTATTTTTTTCTCGCGCGCGCAAAAAAAAAATCATCGATATCGTAAGACCGCGTCTTATGCAGCACAATAGTACCATACTAAAGCGTCAAGTTTGTACAAGAATTTCAGTATGTGCTGTCGAAATTGGATCACCAGCGAAGGAATCCCCTGTCGGAGAACCAACTCCGTTTTCGCAATGCAGGTGRTCATGGTGATGATAGTGATGAATCCTGCGCACACCAATATCGAAGCAATAACCGATCAGGATCAAGAAGAATGCACTGACCAAGATGATGCCACTGAGCAACCAGTAGTAATACGCAACTTTGTGATTTTTGAGGTATTCCGTGTCGTCTTTGATATGCATGGGATACCAGCCGTACAGAGAGACAACGCCCAAGATTAAGAGACTTAGAAAACTRCCAATGCTGATCATAAGGTTWTGTAAGCCTGATGTGACACTTTGGGGCGTGGCAGGACACATGGCGTAGAYCAGCTCAAGACCTGGAAAGTAAGTCAGTGTAACAAAAATCCTTAGTAAAAAAAGGCATAAAACAGACATTGAATCAAACCGTCTGAGATTATACTATTCATCCAATCATGTACTGGGGCATGGCCACAATCACGGCACATACGGACATTATATGCATTGCGTAAGTCCAACATGCTGCCTCTTTTTCCTTCTTTCCTTTCCTTTCCTTTTCTTTCCTTTTTACCCTCTTTTCATCATTTTGGACAAATCCACCGTGCTGTCATAACAATCTCAAAACAATTTTTCAAATAGACTGTAAAGCTAGTGTCAAAAAGAAGGTTACTTGGCTTACCAGACATGCTAGCAAATATCTCACTGATTCCCAAGAGGGTATACTGTGGAATTTGTTGGAATATGGAAAGATCTTTAACTGCTTTGTACACCCTGCAGCTTGTAGTCTGGTTGACATAGTGGAAGTCATTCTSTAGGAAATGATCTGCTTTTGWAATCTCAACATAACCAGCTGAAATKAAATTAGTAAATAGTTAATGGCATTGCTGGGGTGAAGTCAAGTGGCTTATCCAGGATTACTTAGGAGGGGATTAATTACCCTCACTAACCTCAACAAATCATTCCCCCTCCCCTCCTAAAACACATGCATTTTACAAATAAAAAATGTCAATGGGAAATGGGTCRAAATGGGTCCCTAGATACGCCCCTGATGCATTGAAAGCAACTCAAAGCACGTACAATACCTACCCATCCCAGCAGATGATGCTGCCAGTAACATACCAAAAGCAAYCCTCCATGTCCTTGGCACATAAATGTTATACTGTGCACATGTTGGGTACACTAATCTTTCCATTAATGGGACCATCAGTAAGACTATAGCAGTTTCTATCAAGCTCATCCAGGCAGCTGGCACAATAAATGWGCCTGAGTCTAACATCGACATCAAATGAAGACCTTGAAGGATGTAGGTTGAATACAACTGAAACAAAAYGAATCAAGCACATCAAGGATGGATTAGAGGTWGCTCATTTGCMTCTCACCTCYGGGATCTCAGKTTTGATCCTGGACTCYGCAACACATGTGAGTAGAGTTTGTTAACTATAGGTGTCTCCCTTGCTTTGAGGGGTTTTCCCAGGTTCTCTGGTTTTCYTCATCCCTTCGCAAAACCTAATAYACYGGTAAAGCTAAATTCAAATTCAACCTGTCAGTTTGCCGTGCTCTGATTTTGATCAGTTCAAACATTTGTTTCTGGGTATCTAAAACATTTGAAGTTTTTTTTTTCCATTATAGTTACTCTATATCAATCAGTATTYAATTACCTGTGAGTAAATGATCCAGTAAGGAATGAGAGTAAAAGAAAATATAAAAGCTTTTCCCAGAGCCCTAGCTTCACTGACTTCTGACTTCAGGAATGTTCCACCAAATTGAACAGTTGTTTTCTCCAGCCAGTTAATTTTGTCTGCATTAGGTGTTGAAGATCGTGCCGACAGTTCCCTAACAAGACAAAAATTTAGAACAAAAATTGAGTCACAGATATATAGAAGAACCAAAGTGGCTGTGCTATCATTTCCTCTCAATGTCATAAGTCCATTATAATGATGATGCACCACAGGAAACCCATGCTTTGTTTTTGTGTCAGAAAACTGTAGAAACTGTAATCATCCTTTTTTAAACCAATTTAATATAATGACACATAGCCTGGGTTTCCTGTGGGTTTCCTGCAGACACACTTTTGTCAAGACTGCTTGTCCYATTTTYTCTKCCCTGCTTCTATTTGTACTGGACCRACCWTTTACCCTCTCATAAGGATTTAAATAGAAGCTATACCAACATGCAAAAGTTGATTGGAAGAAATATTTTGGCAAGTATGGATATCTCCTTAAACAACAAAGCTAATATTMTGAGAGGATTTTTGGTTAACTGATTACCTAATCTCAATATTGTCATTTCTCTTTCTCCATGCTTGTTTATAAATTAGTCGCACATTTCTCAGCCCTGTTCCATGAGGTCCATTGATGACAAARTACTTTGAGCTGGCCAGAAATGAAGCCACGGCTAATGTCAAAAAAATKACAGGAATAGCAAACCCTAAAGTGAAGCCAGAACTCCAAGGTAAYCTAGTTTGTTGAATGTAGGTCACTCCAGCGAGCCCAAAGAGTGCCAATACATTAGCAATCCAATAAAAACAATTAAAAAGATTTTTTGATGCTCCATTAGGTGGTTCACCTCTCAGCTGCTCRGCACTAAAGGTGGACAAATTGGCCTTGACAGCACCCTCGCCTGCAGCTATTGATACCAAAACAATTGCTAACCAGGGTAGTACCGGGAAATTGTCATCAGGGTTCAAATCCTTTTGACGATTGTCGATCCAAATTGATATAAAAACTAGTAATATCGCACCTAAGAAGTAAAAGATAAAACCAGCTATGATCATAGAGTGTCTTCCGAAGCGAGAATCTGCTACAAGACCATTTAAAGCACACATAAACCAAGCTATCCCAGAATACACAAGTACTCCAGCAGCTGATGCAAACATCGACCACCCAAAGTTGTCCAGAAATAAAACGAGATTAATGATGATTCCAAAATACGCGAATCGCTCACATAATTCAGCCAGCACTAAACAAATAATGCAAAAGCGTCTCATCTCGATTCTTCGTCGTTGGTTGATCGAGTCGTGTTTTCGTGCTTTGGAGTTTAATGGCGTCGTTTCTGTGGGCTCGGGCGAAGTATAGAGCTCTGGGACATCACCATCCCTGTACGAAGCTCCAAAACTACCATCTCCATTTACTATAAGAGGCATTTTGAAGCAATAATGTKTCTTCTAATYTTTTTAAACATTTTCCAGGACCCCGATCAATGTATTTAAGAAATGTTTTGCATCATTCGACACTCTTGTACGTGTTAAAATTTAACCACATTGATCAGATCTATTCACCATCGCAACCAATCAAAAGTTTGTTTACAGGATCCCTTTCTTTTCCGGTCCGAGTGAGGTTTACTTCCGGTTTGTCTTCCCGGATGTATACAACAGGGAGCCCAATATAGTATCTAAAACAATAATAATAATAAATTAATRARATATAAGRAATAACKTGCACCTATTAYAAGAGTTGTCATAGATGAAATTTASTTAGGGTTTTAAATTTTKYATGGGTTTAGTGGTTCTGAGGGRTATTTTTGGGWTATTTTAARACTGGTTTGAGTCGATGGAGTTTGGGATACCTGTGGGATACGTTTTCTCACACGAGAAAAGGTGCGAAAAGCAAGCAAGATGTTGTCCAACTTTTTGCATGGAATGAAAACCTTACTTCTTCAACTTGCCTACAAACACAGGCCATTAACAGGTATGCTACGTGCTTTTATATAGCCCTAGCAATATTATTTTATGACCTTTATTCTTATCGTAATGTAATTTGGCTGGCCAGCCGTTTATATGTGACCACGTTGAACCCTTTCCACAGCAGTGCTATCTACCCGGGTATCTAGTGTTTCACTCACAGGTTTATAACGTTCAATTTTCCTTAAATTCACGTAATTAAATAATGACATAAAGCTCTGTATGTCTTACAAATAGGAGTATATATTACGTAGTAAAAGGAAATAAGGAAGCAGTCATATGTGATGCATGTGAAATGGGATAAACTTGCAGTGAAAAAGTTTTGAAAGCATCCAGAGAGCTAGTTYCAAAAGTTGGTTGAAAGGATGAATTAAAACGGATATTCACGTCTGTCCTCCTTACATAACTGTATTCTCCTTCCCTCGACATCCTAGCCTACTAATAAAGTAAATCATTGATTTTCCCAAATGACCCTTACTTTGATATATGTTTACTCGATTTTTTTCATAGAAATTCCAAAACAAGAAAACAAGGTTGCAATTGTTACTGGTGGAAATGCAGGAATAGGATATGAGACAGTTAAAGGGTTGTGCAAAGCTGGCGTCTCTGTTATAATGGGTAAGAAAACCACAGGAAGCCCAAGCAATGTATCTGTAGAAATTGCAAAGAAATTACACCATGCACTGCCCATTTATTTCAGTTAGTTAAGAGGATTGRTGTTTTTTGCAAAAGGCTATGGTTAAAGTCGTGGCTTGATAAACACTCAGTGTCTTAAAACAAAACCTTTTCGGACAAGGACTTAAAACTRTAGGCCATACTGTATCTGTCTTCACTTTATGACCCTGTATAGGGCAGAATAAAACAATTTTCCATTAAAAAACCTGTRATTTATCTAATGAATCTTCCAGATACAGTAAATGAGACAGGAAATGATGTCATATAAAACCAAGCAATTGACTTTAAATAAAATTAGCTTGCAGATCAGAAGAAAAGGCAAATGAAGCCATCAAATTGTTAAAGGATGAACAACCCAATGCTAAAGGTATGATGGCTAGTAATATATTGAAACAGAATAGACCATTACATATAAGTGTGAGAATAGTCCAGTCATTTTCCCAATCACAATCATCAACATTATTTTATGTCTAACATTTTACAACAAGAACAATTTAGTTMATTGTAGTTGATTTTATTTCAGTATTGAATTTATTTAGGCAAAAAGAAAGATGATCACAGGATCTAGCAGCACTTCACGTGTGCGGATGGCATCAGCACTGTGCTCCATTCACTAATAAAGCACATTTTATTGACCAATCAGGGCACATGTGCTATCCCAACTATATAGTAAAGCTTTATATTGCTACCATGTCTTCATGTAGATCCTTGTATTTTGATATAGATATGTTATACCTGTTGATTTTAGTGAGATATATGAATTTGGACCTGGGAAGTCTCTCATCTGTTAAAGATTTTGCCAATAAGTTCCAAGAGACTGAAAGTAATCTTCATATTCTGGTAAACAATGCTGGTATAATGCACCCACCCTATGGACAGACCAAGGATGGCTTCGAACTTCAGCTTGGAATCAATCATTTGGGTCATTTTGCTTTGACTTTACTTGTTCTGGATGTGATTAAAAGGTAGCAGTTCAAGGGCAGATCCAGAGGGTGGGTTAAGTGGCTAGTGATGGATAGGGCTCCAAGTGAGAGAGGAAGGGATTGATGGAATAGGAGGAAAGGAAGGAGAGAGGGAAGAAAGGGAAAAAAGTATGTATGGATGCTGGTTTTTATGAAACATTGGAGGAAAAGGGAAAGAAATATGAAATAAAGAAAGGATGAATCAAAGGTATTGATGGAGGGAGGAGGAGGGAAAGAAGAAGGGAAGAAAGGAATGAAGAGAGATAGGGGAAAGTATTGGAGAGAAGTAGGGAAGAAAGGAGGGAGGGAGTACGGTATGGATGCATGGAGAAAGGAGGAGAAGAGGAAGAAGGGAAGGAAAACATGATTAAGATAGGAAGGAAGGAAAGAAGGATGTGAGAGAGGGAGGGAAAGTGGTTCTCAACCAGTTTAATGACCCATGAAGCGAGAAAGAAAACAACAGTCTGTTTACTAACTGCAAACATTTGATTGACAGGTCTGGATTAGAGGGGAATTGTGCAAGGATTGTCACAGTGTCATCCAGTGCCCATGCAGCAGGGACCATCAACTTCCAAGATTTACAGAGCCAGTAAGTTTTACTTTTATGAACACAAAATGTGGTTGGAGTCTTAATACAAGTGATGCAAGAATAGTTTATGATAGTCCCCCGTACTTTGGGTATAATGTTTTCCTATTTCAGACCATGTGTCATTCTCTTGAGAGTAAGATTCTGTGTTTCAGTCATATCCATATTCATGTTTTTTTTCAAGCACAACTGTCAAACAAAGAAATGATACTAAGGGGAATGACACAAATAGGGAAACACTATGCCCAAGATAAAAGATCTACAGTGAACCTCAGGACAAGCACTTGGTGTCTGTAATAGCGAGCATTTGCAATAGCAAGAGTTAATTGCAGTCTTTTCTTTGTGAACTCTCTGTAAAGTGAACACCCTCAGGACAATCACTTGGTGTCCGTAATAGCAAGCATCCACAATAGTGAGAGTTAAAAAGTCTTTTATTTTTCATTATTTTTCACTGAGGATGCTTCTGTCTGTAATAGCGAGGTGTCCATAATGTTGGGGTATCCGCATGGCAAATGTTGACTGAATTAGGTTTATGAAGTTTGTCATTCCTAACATCTTGTAGTTAACTAATCTGTCCAGTCCATGTGGTCATTCCAGAGTCTTATTCAAAATATTTGTTTTTCCATTTTTATCTCCTCGTGACATAGGAAAAGCTACTGTCAATATCAAGCCTACAGTCAAAGCAAACTTGCAAATATTCTATTCACGTATGCACTGCAAAGAAGGTTGACCAATGAGGGTTGCTATGTGACAGCTAATGCATTACACCCTGGTGTCGTAAATACAGAACTGTTTCGTTATATTCCATGGATATTACAGTCTGTGAAAAATCTAATTGGAAATTTCGTGTTCTGGGTAAGATACTGCAAGCTTTAAGTTCAGATCACATAGATAAAGACTGTTCATAATTCATGGGTTGGGAAGGCCATGTGGGATYTTGAGGGGGAACCACTATTTTGTTATCAAATATTTAGGTAGGTGGACTTTAAAAATAATACTATTAAATCAATTATATTCTACAATTCTGGAGGGAATAAAATATTTACCAGTTTGTAAAGGGGCAAAGCTGACAAAAAATGTTATTYTAAAACCGAGAATCRGCATAGCTTTCCTGCTAGCAGAGTCTCCCTCGTTTGYGATTCTACCCCCTTCCCCAACCCATAATTTTTAAAAATTAGGAAATMGACCTTGGTTTAATTAGACACAAGAGTCTAAGAAAAGATAAAAAATTCTAGCACAATGTCTAAAATTATATTTAATTATCTATTATTGTTTTTTACCAGACCCCAGAGCAAGGAGCTTCAACAAGTTTGTTTGCTTGCCTTTCTCCTGACATGGAAGGYATTGGAGGAAAATATCTCAGTAACTGTGAAGCTACAGGCAGTATTGATGAATCTTACAATGAGGACATACAGGAGAGACTATGGAATGTGAGCTGTGAATTGACTCATGTGGGCAAGGATACRTAAAGAGAAGGAACAAGGTATCTTATTAATAACTATCAATCTGATTAATATCAATCAGACTCAGAGTGACAACACTCTGGGGCATAGAAGGGGATATCCATACAGGAGTAGTTGTATGTTGGTAACCCCTCTCCCCCTTGTCAGTTTATTCACAACCTGCATGTGTTTGGGGGAGGGGAGGGACGATTTATTAAGATGAATGGGAATGATTCCCAAATGGTAGATAATCCTGCCAGGATGATTAATAGCTTCAAGACTGGAATTTTTGATATAAAGAAAGTCATTTTTATATCAATTTAAGAAAAAATTAAATGAGACTTATGACTTTCTCCTAGTCATGTTAACATTTTTCAGTGACTGTCTGAAAAATAAAAAAGGTAAAAGAGCCCTTTCTTATTTAGGAGCTGGGCAATATTAATGATACTTGACAATTTTTTTTAGTGAGAGGATTTTTATTCATTAGTTAACATCATTAAAATATTGCATTTTTTGGTTCAAATACTAAGAAAAATTATAAACTGGTAATCTACTACTCAACCAGTGATTTTTTWAATATAAATTCATTACCATACCATACCAGTGAAGAATCAATTCCTATCTTTGTATAAAAAACCTATAGATTATAGATAGATTGAATAAATTAACATTTAAAGTTCATGGCTAAACTTTGTATTTAGAACTCTTTCTATTTGTTACATAGTAAACCTGTTTTCATATTAAACTGAGGTGAAGAATTAAATATAGGAATAAACTTGTATGGATAGTAGGGTTTCGATAGTATACATAGACAAGATCAAATTTCTAGAAGCTTACACATTTTTCATCAATGGAGAGCACAGTGCGCAAAATTTTTTTTTCTTTTTTGTAAGAATATTTTATGAATCTACGTATTAGTGCAATAATTTTATTAAACTGCTGCCTGAACATTTAAAAAATCTGGTGTCGATATTAGAGAGTTCCTTCGTTTCCTTGGACAAGACGTTGTCTCAATTTCCATAAATCCTGTAAATAATTGAAAAACAAACATACAATTTAGTAAGTTTAAAAAGTTTCAAATTGATGTTTAGGTGAGATTTACGAAAGAAAAAAGCATTCATAAAACTGGAACAAATTTTGGACTTCAAGAACTGGTATACATGTATTGTAKTATTCACTGATTTTGAAGATTTTTGTTGGCAACCTGCTTATTTGGGTAAGATTTAGGAAGAACAAAAGGTACATTAAATCAATCTCACGTCACCTAACCTCTTAGCTCTTACCTGAAAAGTCACATTTACATCATTGCCGAGCTTGCGTTTTGCAACACCAATAACTTCCTCAGCTATCTCTTCCTGTACTGTGCCCTTCACGTCAATGTAATAGCAGTGTGAACTGGCATAATGACAGGATATTGCCTGCGTGTGAATGAAAATTTTGTGAACTTMATACATAATATATCTTTAATAGTAAAGTTATCAGATTGAGAATGTTTATTGAAGGAGGAAATGGGAAATCCAGGTAGAATTCCTAAAAGCAAATTTCAAAATGACTGTGCACAGCTATGTTATGAAGATTTTCAGAACTGAYCCAGCTGATATCCATGAGAGGCAAGTTAAAGACTGTTAACAACTATGATTTACTGCAACAAATTATTCCATCATTTGATAGCCTTTCTTACCTTACGGAAACCCTTAGTTCTATTTGTGCCAGAGCCATGGATTAACAATGGATGAAAAAACACTGTATCTCCGGCATCCATTTCCAAGTGCACCATGGGAGCATTTGGGTCAAAGTCTTTTATGCCATGGTACATCTTGTTTACGCCACCCTAACAATTATTAGAATAGACCTCTTTACCTTTGGCATAATCTTCTCCTATTTTAGATGTGTCATTCCCTAGAGTATCATTTCCTTTTTTAATGCTTTTGCACGAGAAGACACCTGAATTTGGATACAACTCAAACAAAGAATTTCCTTCTCAAGAGAATGACATGGTTTGAATTGGGAAAACACTATTTACGCCCAAGCTATAGCAGTCTATTGAAGTGATCATAAACAATATTTTGTTGCAACATAACAAGATCTCGCTAAATAGTTGATCATACTAATCATCAAACCGCTTATTGCATATTACTTATATATATGTACCTCCCATTCTGGATATCGATGCTTTAACAGCTCTTTATTTGTGTGAGTTCCTGGAATAACTACAAGACAGCCRTTCTTTCGTGTAACTTTTTCCATTGCTGTCCAGGAACAAACCATCCTAGAAAATGAACAACACTGCTAAAAAAAATTATAATACGAGCGTTATTAACATTAATAATATATTAATAACACTACAACTTGGCTATCATACCACAAGCTAGTTTTCTTGTCTTCTTACTTTCCAAACTAACACAGCTGATGTGCGAGAGGGACAGGTTTAGGAGTGTTAGCAATCATTGTTTACAGCAAAAAATTACTGGTATTTTCATTTTATAAAGTAAAGCTAGAYAAGAAATTGAAAAAAAAGTATTTTACTAGACAAAAATCGTACAAAATTATTACGTATGTACGTAATTTAATAAGTACCTATCTGCAGGTCTGAATGGAAAGTAGTGTAGATCTTGATGCAGGGGATGTCTCGATGTCTTCGTACCCGGATCAGGTGGCTTGTTAATTAACATAGTATGAACAGCCATGATATCTGGCCCAGTAAAACACTCAACGTACTTCAATATACCAGGAAGACGACAGTACTCGAACAAAACTTCATCATACTGATAATCTTGGATCTTGTTGATACTTCTCTCGCCAGGAAGAAACTCCGAATTCTTCGAGGATATATCCTTCATGACCATTAATCCTGGTACTCTAACTTTACCAGTGCAGATATCCTTAAATCTCTCGTAATATTTGTCTAGATGTATTTTGYCAACGAGGTTGCGAACGACCAAGAAGCCGTTCTTGTTGTAGAAGTCGACATCTTCTTGATTTAAAAGAGTGTTTTGAAGAACATAATTATGTGAATCGTACGGCCGAGGTGCTGCATAAGACGTTGGAGCAGGATAAATCTTGGTTTGATCTGTATTTTGTTGTAAAAGATGGTCTGAAATACGAGCTAGCCTTCCAACAGACTTGTTGGACGCCATCTTAGATCAGACTTTGAACACACAGGAAGCCCGCGCCTATATCATAAGACGGTATAAAGCTACCCTCCCCTCCCCCCTTTTTTCTTCCCTCTATTTTCTTTGCTGTATTTTTCATTTTTTTCTCGTGAATTCTCCAAAATAGTTAGCATACAGTGGCCACGGTTAAATCGCATGTAAATAATACTGCTGCTTGGAAAAAGAAATGAAAAAGAAAGATGAGAATCAAAAACGAAAACTGAGCAGTTTCAGAGCAATTTATTCTATTTTTTCACTACACACTGAAATAAATGAAGAATAATTGAATTGAAGGTCGACCTGACGTCAGGTTGCCTTGCCTTTATTGAACTATTTATTTATTTGTTCCCTATTGTAAATCACKTATGTGACATAGGCTTACTGTCGAAAGAAAAATATATATGATCGATACACGAGTTCGATCTTGTATACTATATGTTTTTTAAATTAGTCTGCAGTCTATTACTGTTATCAGTCGTTATTGATTGGTCTACGATATACTACGCATAATACTACTCCACTATCGATATCCCTCAAGACATACATCGATCAAGTATGGATTTTWATCCCGTGTGTCCTAAATTGATCTAATATCAATTGTTCTTCCACGACAATTTGATTAACGACGCTTTTTCTCTTCAACGAGTAGTGCCTGCGAAGCTGGTCCGTCGACGAGGGCGGCATAGGAGATAGCAGCAGCGGGAAGCATGCCGGGAACGTTGAATATATCTCTCGCGAAGGGAATACCAATCCCATCCAACTTGACTTGGAACACATCGTGCATCCCAGCTACAGCATTGACTCCTGGGACTTTATTCAAAAACCTGCTCACCCTACCCCCCTCGTTGAACCATCCTGACGGATCTATGGGATCKGGACCTTGCGTTCCTATGTTATTTGCCCCTTTTATGGGCATTTCGGAGTAAGATTTCGGCTGAGCAGGTCCTCCTGATTTCCATGTTGCGCGGTAATTTACAACCGAGTTGTAAAGGTATTGGGCCGAAGCTGTGATCCCCGCCATTAAGAACCCATCTTTGAATCTTCCTCCACTGAGCTCGGTTGCAGTACCTCCGCCGATGGCCTGCGTAGCTACCCGCTCTAGGCTCCACGTGCTGCCAAAGTACCCTCCCAAACCTCCAGACACGGCTCCACCCAATGCCCCCTGTAGACCACCCTTCAGCGACCCTGATGAAATCGTTCCACCAACGAATCCTGAAGCTGCTCCGGCAATGGCTCCAGTAGCGACGGTTGCTGCCACACCTGACAACCCTGCTGACGCAACGAGCCCCGCAGCCAATGGGGTTGCAGCCCCAAACGTGACTACAGCAGCTGCAATTCCCACGATGGGCCTCCAGAACTTCTTGAAAAAGCGTCCAATGGACTTAAAGAAGTACCCTGTTGGATCTTTGTGCTTTAGTGGATTATTCAGTGTGTAGCTGTAACGGTTGTAGCTTTGTGTATTGTAAGGATCCTGTACGTGAGGATCTGGGCTGAGAAATCTGCCAACAACTGGGTCGTATATTCTTCCATTCATGTGGATCAGGTCCAACTCTTCCAGGTGCTCGTGGCCTGTGAAGCCACGTTTAGTGTAAGTAGACCCAGGCTGTGAATGTGATGTGCATCGGTCAAAACTTTCCCAAGTGGCAGCTCTTCTCTGTCCATACGCGTTGTAACGCAACGATTCCACAATCTCTCCTACCTGGTTCGTCACAGTGTCGACTGAGTCAAGATGATCGCCATGGATGTAGTTGACTGATGATACTGGTGACTTCTCTTCTGTCTTTGTCTCAATAGCCACTAGCCTTCCTAATGCATAAATGAAATATTTATGCATGGTCTTTTTACCACTGGTCGTCTTTTCGTATAACTTGCCGATGTAAATTTTGGTCTCCTCCGGGCTTGTTTTCTTGTAACGATTTTGATGAGCGTCATATTCAAACTGAACAGTTCCTCCTGATTTTCTTGCTATAGTTTTGGGTTTATTAAACGACGTCCAAGTGACTCGTTGATTATTCTTTCGTATCATATTACCATTGGCATCATAAGCGTATGTATTTGGCCCAGCTTTGACAACTGCATGAGGCTGTGTGTGACTGTACTGATGATGCAAGCCTCCAAAACCACTATATCGACGGATATTTCCAATGCTGTCGTACTCCCAATCTTCTGTGAATGCAGATTCGTCTTGTGGATTCAGACTTCTGATGGTTGCACGTGTTATTCTGTCCAAACCGTCGTAGGAAAATCTTTCCACCGTGTTCCACGACGCACTCCGGTCTTTTCTCTCCAACATGTTGCCGACTGCATCGAAGTTGTATTCCCAATGTCGTTTGACTCGCATGGAAGAATCCCTTGTTTTGATTGATTTTATATGGTTGCTCTCATCATATTGATACTCGGTTAACAATGAGTTACCATATTGCTCTTTGGCTATGTGTCCAAATGGGTCGTACTCCAAGGCTCTCCAGTAGGCATTTCTTGAAAATCCTTGTCCACAAGGAGACTGGGTGACTTCAGTCATGAATCCTTGATTGTCRTAACAGTAGTTAACTATTTTATTACCTGGAAGTATCTGATTGGAGAGTTGTCCCATGTTATTGTACTGTGAGTGAATATCGAACACTTCGTTTCCAATATTCTGTTTTACTCTTGTTTCTCTGCCTTTGTTGTCATAAGTGTATTCCATCACATGACCGCTTGGTGAAACAGTTCTCGCAAGTTTTCCTTTTCCATTTGTACTCACATCGTAGATCCATTTGGTCTTACCCTCAGAACCCTTCCTCTCAAGCATCCTGCCAAGCTTATCATAGGCAAAAAACACCTCATTCCCGACAGCGTCCTTCTGCCATACCTTTTGGCCATGGGCGTTGTACGAGTATTTCCATAATCCCATGTCAGGATCATTGATGGATATCTTATTTCCCAGCTGATCATAAGTCATTGTTGTTACATGTCCTGCTGGATCTGTGGTCTTGATAAGATTACCAACAACGTCATAATCATAGATCACAGTCCCACCCAGAGCATCTGTAACTTTCACATTTCTTCCAAGAGCATCTTTTTCAACCCTTTTCGTATTTCCATTTGCATCTGTGATCTCTTTTACGAGTCCATTATAGATTGTTCTCTTTGTAGTAGCCGTTGTTTTTTCATAAGGACGTTTTTCAGATATCTCTCGTCCTAACACATCGTACTCATAGCTAACCCAGGCAGGCTTTTGGTCCTTGGAGAAGTAAGGCAAGCTTTGTCTTCGCACACGACCAAGCGAATCGTACTCTATATTCTCGTGAATTCCTTCACCTCCAAACCCAGTAGACACTACTCGAATAGGCCTGTCAAGACTATCATAGACAGTGACAGTATCTTGCTTGCCAGTTCGAATYATCCTTTCAATGTAGACTCCAACGTTCTGAGAAAAATCTATCTCCCATCTAGTAGAAGTACCATCAGGTCGCAGCTCAGAAATCTTTCTATCAAATGTATCGTACGTGTATTTTGTTACCAAGCCATTAATACCTGTAAAGGTGACCATGTTTCCAAAATTGTCATAGGAATAAGACTCGACATGTCCAAGGTCATTTCGTGTTGACATCAATCGAATTCCTCGGGCATCATACTTCATGAACACCTTGCGAGGTGTCGGCGAGGGATCTGAAGCAAGTCTTGGAAATATCGGTACCTCGTGTTTTTCAATAACATTGCCATAATTGTCATAAACGTAGGATGTTTTGAGGCCAAGGKGATGATCTGGTTCACGCAATTCGTACATGAGTTTTCTTGTATTACGGTTGTAATAAAAGGTGGACTTCCGTACTATTGATGCCCCTCCAATGCGATAAGTCACTGCAATCGAGTCAAGCTCTCCAATATACCATGTATGGGGATTATTAGAGTAATTGTTCATCGTTATCTGCTCAAAATTCTTGCCATTTCCAGAGGTGACCTTCTTCATCGCGTGGATATTCCCATAGTTGTCCACGGCATCGATAGAAAGCCTCTCCGATCTTACATGCTTTCCATTGATCTCGTAAGTATGAACTGCATCTGATGTTAACTGGATCTGTATTTGACGACCAACGGTGRCCCTATATGCTTTACTCCTCTGAAGAACCACTCTGTTGCCAACTTTTTTCGTAACAGATTGTGTCAAAGCCGTGAGAGGAAATATCTGGAAATAGGTTGAAGTTGTACTTTCTTTGCTTTCCTGTAGGTGTTCAGAGACGTCGCTGAATCCTAAAGTGCCTCTTCCCTTTAAGTTCACACGCATTCCTTTGTAGGTATACTTTGTAGTATTGAAGCCTCCTATTCCGTTGTTTTGAACAAACTGTTTTACAACAGTTTGAGCGATGTTGACTTTAGGATCTGGATATGAAGTGMTTGCTCCTCGTGAATAGATGGTTCTGTCAGCTAACGAAGAGTACGTTATTCGGTGAGTGTTGGCGTAGCTATCGGTGATCGATGTCATCAGAGTCCTTTTATTTTTGTTCGTCGAGATATAAACTCCACCACTTGCAAAGCCAACGATATCTGACATTCCATCACCCGTAACATCGACAAGGAATCGAGGATGTTGTGAGACAGACCAGCCCCCTGTACTGGTGCCATAACTTGCTATCCACCTCTTTGCAGGTGCAAATGATGTTCCAGTATTTAATGACACCATGACACCTCCTGATGCAAAGCCCACGACGTCAGGTAAGCCGTCTCCGTTCATATCGTGTATATACCGGGGGTGAGAATTAATCCTCCAGCCATGATTGTACCCAAATGCAGCTATCCACGTTCTACTCRGTAGTAACCGGGTGCCAGTACTGAGGGATACTTCAACTCCACAGCATGAAAACCCAACAACATCAGCTAAGCCATCGCCATTGACATCRACAACGTATCTTGGATGTGAACTGGTTCTCCAGCCTTGGTTGTACCCAAACTGTCCTTTACCCCAGTTGGAAGCCGCTGCAAACGACGAACCGGTGTTGATTGCCACGTACACACCAGAACTTGCCATACCAACAACATCAGGAAGACCATCGCCGTTAACGTCTTCAAGATATCGTGGATGGTTCTGAACTCTCCAGCCTCCTGCTGTGTATCCAAATGCTGCTATCCAACGTGTTGCGGGCTTGAAAGTGGTTCCTGTTCCTAATGACACATAAACTCCGCCAYTTGCGAAACCAATGATATCAGGCAACCCATCTCCATTCATGTCTTTTACAAACCTTGGATGATTTTGAACCCTCCATCCACCTGCAGTGTATCCAAACTGGGCAAGCCAAAGTTTAGGTGCCGTGAAGGATTCCGAACCGGTGTTAAGGGAGACGTACACACCTCCACTTGCGAAGCCTACGATGTCTGGAAGATGATCTCCGTTCACGTCTATGACAAATCTTGGGTGTTGACTTCCCCAGCCTCCGCTGCTGCTTCCGTACGATGCTACCCAGGTCTTAGCTGGTTTGAAGTGTCCATTCTGATTGAGTGCGACCATGACACCTCCACTAGCAAACCCGACAACATCAGGCAGCCCATCATCGTTCATGTCCACAACGTATCGAGGATGTGTACCAACCTTCCAGCCCCCGGAGGACGTCCCAAAAGCTTTTATCCAGTACGTGGGTGAGTTTGTGCGCTCTTCATCTCCGGTTCCTTGAAAAGCCAGTTTCTCAGGTTTGTAGCAATTCGACTCTCGTGTGCACAGCTGAATACTTGAAACCAGACTAATCTTGGGAAGTTTTGCTTCGATGTATGTTATCCTTATTTCTCTGTGAAGCTGGGCGTTAACCAAAGTCTTGATCGAAATGAGGCGTTTGTTTTGGGYGTAAAGCACCCCGCCATTGAAGTATGGTGTAGAAATATCCTTGCGAGTTTCGTACTCAAAGGCTATAACCATGTTTGAGTAAGTGATCCTCGAGATTAACACTCCGTTAGTGTTGTGCATATACACAATATTCACCACATTGTTAGAATAATCACTAATAGAATCCAGTTTCCAAGCATGAACACTCGTCTGGCCATGAGTCTTCATTCGCGAATCAACCCGAGTCCCAAACGATCTTTTTTGGTTGTTCTTGGTCTTCACAAGGAAACTTTGTGGTCCAGCACCCATGGTACCTTGAGCGTAYGCCCTCAAGAAGGTGTCTACCTCAGTACCGTATGTAGAGCCATGCCTACCATATACCCCGGATGTCAAAACTAATCTGGATCCATCGAGACAATACCTATCACCGAGGTCGTATTTGATGCCACGGCTTTGACCATCGTGCGCGTGGTTCAGGGGACATCTGAAACAACAAAGGAACATCATATATAAATCTCTTTGAAGGYTCTTTGTGTTGCTAATTTTAGATTGAAATTTGTGTTGCACTTGGCACGGTCACGGTACAGACTCACGATATTCTTTGAACCAATCAGAGCCCGTAAAATTTCTGCTCATCCAATCAAAATGCTTGGGCACCACATCGTTACRGTAACGGCACAAAACCTTCGCAACATGAGTTTTTACCTCTATCACCATGTATAGACAMCGCGCGCAGGCCATTGACATTTCATAAAACATATAGAAAAGGTCTTACCTTGATATTTGAGAAAATCCACCAATAGTCCAACCCAAACCTAGAGGACCATTACCTCCTCCGCTATCATAGACCAACTCCATCTCCAGTAGGTGGTTTGGAAAGCCTTTAGGTGTAGGCACGGGCACTTTGTACTTAGCTTGGCCTTGCTCAACCTTGAACTCCGTGAACATGTTACCAACTTCGTTGCATAATGAATCCTGGATCACTACTAGGCCTACCCAGATGATCCAAAACAAGAATTTGTACTCCATGTTGGCTGAAATTAGAAAAAATTGGTACTTAGATAGTGCTAAACTGCATAACATGATTTCACCTTGTCGGAAAAACTACGAGATGCCACTTGTATTTAAGACTCTCAAGAATCTGTTGGTGTGAGCTACGGGTTTTGAAAAGAAAACACACACCTTTAGGCAGGCCTCTTTCTCCAAGGGAAAATTTTCCCCCCACTATTTACAGTAAGCCTGCCATTCTCACTCATTGAGAATGGTAGAATTTTAGAAGTTTAAATTTTAGCAAAAAAAAAGAGTTGATGACGACTAGTTTTGGAACTAGTTTGGACTGCGTCGGTGTTTTTTAGTTGAATCAAATGTGTCGTAGTAGATAATTTTATCACCGTAGGTACGAAAGATAGTAAAAAAAAGAAAAGGTGACCGGAGAAAATACCTCGACGGTTCTGTAATGTTTTGTACGCTTGGTATTCTCCAAGTGCCGTACTGATTTTTTAAAGTTAAGTTTATTCATTCAAATACATCGAACACACAAAAAGGCCTGAGACCACACGTTTGAATACAGAATGACAGCCTAGACTATGCTGGTAACACTACATTATGTAGAATTTATTCAGCTGGATTT